TAAGAACACAGGAAACTTAAATGTAGTGGTGCAGTCAAGAGTGACTGGGAAACTCTGATTGGRCAAAGGGGAGGGTGGAGAGGAGAGAGGGCATGGGGGTAGGAAAGATGGTGGAGCTCCATGGACATTATTACCCTAAGTACATATATGACTCCACCTATGGTGAGATGCTACATCGTGTACAACCAGAGAAATGAAAAGTTGTGCTGCAATTGTGTACAACCAATCAAAATGCATTCTGTTGTCATATATACCTAATTGAAATAAATAAATAAATTTWAAAAAAAACAAATATATTAATTAAAAAAAAAAAAGTAACTGGGAGAGCTGCTTTCCAAAGCCAGCTGGGAAGATCTCTCAGGAGATGACACTTAAGCCTAGATCCAAAGGCATCAGACAAAGATGAAGGAAAGTGGTACGTGTAAAGGCCCCGGGGGCAGGCACTAACAAGAAAATGAAAGAAGGCCAGTGCAGCAAAGCACTTCTGTATAGCTGGTGTTTGTCATCTTTAAAACAATGTTGTAAAGACTGAACACTGAGCAGAATATCTGCTCCTAGCATGTGTCCAGTAAATGTAAGATGCTAAATTAAAAACAAGTAAACAAAAGCCAGGCACCATGGTGCATGMCTATAATCTAGCAGCTTGRGAGGCTGAAGCAGGAGGATCAAGAGTTCAAAGCCAGCCTCAGCAATTTAGTGAGGCCCTAAGCAACTCAGCAAGATCCTGTCTCTATATAAAATATTTTCTTAAAAGGCCTGGGGATGTGGCTTAGTTGTAAAATGCCTGTGGGTTCAATCCTTAGTACCAAATAAAATAAAACGAGTAGAAGATGCTAGAATCTCACGACCATCATCATCAGTGTCATCCCATCATTAGCAGCAAGGTGCCCTGTCAAAGGCATGATTTATATGGCTTCTAAATTCCCTCAACAATTAACCCAGGATTAGACAAGAACACAGGAAGTGAAGAAAGAAATGATACAACTGAGACACTCCAGCTTTCTGCCCAAGGCTTTTTAAAGGGTGCATGGTACCACAATGTAGAGTGCACCCCACCACTTCATTCAACACACGGCCCTCTCTCACCTAAACCCCTAACTGTCCAAATCTCCACTTGGAGCTCGCTGACACACTCTTCTTAGCCCTGAGAGCTACCCTTTGGGCTCAAACTCTCCACAACAACACCGAGAACAGGAGAGGATGACAAGTCTCTATTATTAGCTTTCAGGTAGGTTAGTTACTGACCGAATGAAACAGCAGGGCTGCCATTCTTTGATTTTATGTGCATCCGCAACCCTTGTATTATTTCATATTTTACAATGTTCCAAGCAGAAGCTCATGCATCATATACTCCACTGGCAATGTATTTCACTTAAAAAATTATTATTCTTGGCCTCCTGTCTCAAAATCTTTACTACCTTGTTAAGCTTTCTGAAGCCTGCTAAGGCTGTCAATAACACAGTCATTGATGACAAACTTGACCATGTGCCTTTAAAGAAAAGAAAGACCTACTTTTACCCAATCTCCAATCCTTGATCATTAAAGATCAAATTCTTTCCAGTTACTTCACTCAAATCCAGGGTAAATGTACTACAACCATAAAGAAGTATATGGCTTTTATATTCATGAAACTATTCCATTACCTACCCCTGATAGCTTCGTATTTCTGTTTAGATGGTGGAAATAGCTTTTAAACATAAAAAACCTTACACAGCATGAAGCGAACTAAGACAGAATGAGGGCAATAAATAATCCCAATAACTTAACACAAAATGCATATATATTTTATTATGCCAGGCTTTTAGACTGTCCAAACTCAGGGATCTGGGGAGAACAGAAGAATCTTCATAAACCAAAACTTTAAATTGGTCAATATATTTTCAACATTACATTTTTCCACCCCAATCTCTCCTCCTGCCCCCTCATTCAAACCCCAAAAGGAAGAAACCTAGAATAGTTGATTATAATCAAAATTCTCCAATAAGAAAATATTCCATTTTTGTTTGTCCACTTGTTTGTTGTTATTGTTTTACATTGCTGGAGATTGACCCCAGCACCTGGTGCATGACTGGTACATGCTCTGTCACTGAGCTCTATCTATAGCCCAATTCTTTCCTAAAAAAAAAAAAAGAAAAAAAGAAAAAAAGAAAAAAGCAATAAATTCAGCACAGACCATGTTCAAGAATAATGTTTTAAAAAATATATACTGTGTGTAGATGATGCCTATGGCATTAAATTTTTTTAAATCTCTTAATAATATGTAAATTTTGGAGAACCATATTACCACTGTATGCAAAGAATTTACCTTTTAAAAAATTCTTAAACTACCTTCCCAGAAAGAAAGATTGAGACTAACAGCCTCATTCAAATCCAAACTTATCTATTGGGTTTTGCAACATAATCCAGCCAAAAAGAATGTGATTCATATCTCAGCCATGCAACAGCTAAATTTTCAATGTGTTTTGAAGTAGATACTTTTTAAGAAAAGTGTAATAGTAATAACTTTGGCATTAAAACACTACAGGCAATTTGAGAGTCTTTTAAAATACAATAATTAAGCAATAGAGGTTGCCAAAGAGCTTTAGAAAATACATACAGACAAAAAGAGAAAAATAATAATCCCAAAGTGCAGAGATGAACAGTTTTAACATTTTAGTTTACACCCCACTAATTTTGTTATAAGATATTTTTCATAAGAATAATTTCACATGTTACATATTTTAACAATATATTGAGAACAAATTACTATGTTTATACACATGTACTCACACACATACATACACATATATCCTTATCAATTTTTGTGAATGCATAATCTTCTTTATGGGTATACACTGATTTAATTAGCTCCATTGAGGTTCTATAGAATCTGTTCAACACACTACAGTAAAGAAACAGAGTGAGCAAGGCACAGTGGCACATGCTTATAATCCCAGCGGCTGGGGAGGCTGATGCAGGAGGATTGCAAGTTCAAAGCCAGCCTCAGCAAAAGCAAGGCGCTAAGCAACTCAATGAGACCCTGCCTCTAAGATACAAAATAGGGCTCAGTAGTCGAGTGCCCTTGAGTTCAATCCCTGGTTCCTCCCCACTCAACCCCCCAAAAAGAAACAGAATAAGCCTACCACTATTTCCAAGTTATTTGACTGTGATATCTTTTTTGAAGTACACATTAACCTTAGAACTTGAGAACCTTTCAAAATACTTTGAGCAATAATAACCTAACCAATCCCCCATATTGGGATTTTTATGGTTTTCCACTTTTTCTATTATAAATAATGCTGTTATCAATGTCTTGAATGTGCATTTATATGCACTGCCTAGGGGAAAACTCTCAAAATAGAGTTACTTCACTGATTAATATAACCTTGTTAAAAACAAGTTCAATCCTCAGCACCAAAAACAAAAGTTATAATTTTTGCCAAACATCCCCTAACAATGTATGAGAGTTAGCCCTCAAAAACAACAACTTTAAATTTTAAAGAATATGTTGGAAGTTTATGTGCTCATCATCTATACCCAGTATTTTCAAACTTATGTAATTACTCTTTAATGGACATGGACAAAGTACCAGTAATAAACATCAAAGGTCTTAGTGTAACGGAAGTTGACTCATGAAACTATCTAGGATCATAACACTTCACAATTCATAAAACATGAACAATATGGAGACATTAAATAAATAGTCTCTCCTTCATTTTCCTCTTTATCACCTTTACATATTTCTGAATATAGTCTGCACTGTTAAGAGGTTATTAACAATCYCTTATATTTATATAGTACTTTATACCACTAAGACATTTTTAAAAGAAGAAGAAGTAGTTTAGGGGATGATAACATTCTAGAAGCACACTTTAAAGTGTATAAACCAAAGGACAGGAAGCTGTCCTTCAAAAGATCCTTCAAGCTCCAAAATATCCACTTACACATTTACAGCAAAATCTCTAATATCCCAAATCTTTACCAACCAGCCAACACCAGTATTGTGGAGGGAAATGTGTATCCTAAAATATTGAATGAAGCCTTATTTTCAGCGCATATACCTGCAGTTTCAAATAAGAAATAAGCTCCTACCATAATATATGGATGGCTCACATAGCCAAAACAGGCTTTGAGTTCCTTTTTTTGTTTTTAAAGTCACAATGGATGTAATTTTGTACCTCAAAGTGACTCTCAAAGTTACTTAAGTATAGTGTTCACACCCAGCATAAAGTTCTGTGTAATTTGCAAAGCTCCAAAAGGCCCTGCCTGCTCAAAAATATCTCCCCTTTAAGCCAGTCTCAGAATCATATTGAAGCTTTTTAAAAATTACAGTAATTTTTATTCAATAGGTCTGGAGTAGAGCCAACACATCTGCATTTGTAAAATCTCCCCAGTTGATTCATTCGTACAGCCGGCATCAAAAAGCACTCAGTTACATAAGACTAAGGGAAAGAGAGGTATCCTGAGGTCCCCCGTGTTTGTATGAAAACTGTTCATCTGTCTTAGCCCAGTTGATTTGGTTACTTAGGGGAACACTGTACCTTGAGAAGGTTCAAAAGGGGAGCGAAGGTAGGGTGCCTGTTGGCCAAGCACTAGCCACCCAGAGAGATGGGAGGTGAGCATACTGTTAATGGAATCAATCCTTTAGGAGATCCTTCCTCCCAAAAATGATGGTACCCCTATGTTAAGCATATAATTCCCTTCAAATTTCAAAAATACAGAAGAAAATGTTCAGGCATGTGTCTGTATTTTAATGGCAGTTTTATTCCCAAACAGCATTTAGCTACAAGTACCAGTTTCACCAAGCAATACCAGTCAACATACAATGAGACAAAATTGGATCAAGAAATTAACGCAGAGACATTATATTACCTTTGATAAATTAATGGTCATTTGTCAGAATTAAGTTTCTGAAAAGAAGTTTGCCTCACAAGAGCAATGCAAAACAAGCCAAGAAACCTATGTCTTCTAAATAGTTTGTGCATAAAAATCCAGAATTATCTTGGGCTTCCATGACTTACCAGATCTGGACTTAATGATGTCACTGAACTCATTCTGCCCATCATCGGACCTGGCTTCCTGCTCTCCATACTTGGCCATCCTGGCTGAGTTTCAGCGCAATCCAAGACTTTCCCAAGTTCTTTTTAAGACTTTCTACTTTGTATGGTGGTTCAGCCTGTCATCAATGCCTAAAACGAAAAGAAAAAGCATTGATTTGTTTGTGTACATATGTATGTATGTATGTGTGTATATCTATCTAGATAGATATAGATATACACACACACATATGTATCCTGTTAAGAGGATATTAATAATCCCTTATATTTATATAGTACTTTATACCACTGAGACATTTTTAAAAAAGAAGTTTAGGGGATGAGAACATTCTAGAAGCATACTTTAAAGTATATATATAAACTAAAGGATAGGAAGCTATCTTTCAAAAGATCCTTCAAGCTCCAAAATATCCACTTACATATATATATATATATATATATATATATATGGAATATATATCTACATATAAATACATGGATACATACAGTTATTTATAGTAACTATTCCTTCAGCAAAAATGTATTGAGGGCCTACCATGTGTAAGACACACAGATCCAGACAGTGGGGATTTGATTACCAACAAGAAACACAGCTTCCATTATTATGGAACTTACAGATACTAAGCAATTAATTATACAATGAATTATTTCTTTACAATACCGATAGTCTACAAACATACAAAGGATAATTACTGAGTAATGAAGCATATGGCAGAGGAATTTGACCTGCCCTGGGCAATTGAGAAGGCTTTCTTAAAAAATAGATACTTGAGCTCAGTTTTTAAGGATAAGAAGAAATTAATTAGCCAGGAAGGGAAATAGAAAAAGTAAGAGCTTTCCATGTGAAGTACTAGAAAGACCAATGGAGCATGTGAAGTGCTTTTGGAGAGAAGTCTGCCAGGAAGCAATGTATCTGAGCAACAAGGTGAGGAAGGTTAGGCAAGACCAGAGACAGGGTTTCTGGTCAAGGCTCCTGGTCTTCAGAAGCTAGAGGTCCAGTAGATGGTTTTAAGCATGGCCAGATTGTCCTTTTATAAAGACATTCTGACTTGTAGGTGGACCACAGTGACATGTGAGAACCAGCAAAAACTATGGCAGGATACTGCAAAATGCTAATTAAACAATCTACACCATGGGTATATAGATGCTGAGTAAAAATTTCTTTCAACTCTTCTACACATTTGAAATTTTTTATGATAATATGTTGGGAAAAAAATTCCTACCTTGACCAGTAATCAGACTTGATTTAACCAACAAGAGGACATCATACCATGCAATGGAAAACATAATACATCATCTATATGGTATTCTTGCCAAAGTTTTACCGTCATGAGCAGACAAATCTAGACAGTGGGTGGTTTTCCAAACATATGGTCTAGTCACTCCAAAACTGTCAACTTCCAGAAAACCACAATTTCTGAGGAAGGGGGAACTTTGTGGATTAAAAGAAACTAAATAGATATAACAACCAAATGCAATTCTTGATTGCACATAAAATTTTAAAACAAAACCTCTTGGAAATCATTTCAAAAATAGGAAATTTAGAGTGTACATTAGGCAATAAATTTCTTCAACATTAATTAATGGTGGTGTTATGCAGGAGAATGTCTTTGATTGTAGGAGATACGTGATGAAATATATAACAATGAAGTATGACAATATTTTCCTTCAACTTAACTTCAATCAGGGCAGTATTGATCTATCTATATGTATACTGATGTGTATGTGGATGTATATGTGCATAGATATGCACTCACAAAGAGAGGAAGTAAACATTGTAAAGTAAATGAGGAAACTAGTTAAAGAGCACTTGAATATTTATTGTACTAATCTTTCCATTATAATATTATGGGCAGGATTATTGCCTAAACAATAGGCAAAAACAGTGGGCAGAAAGAAAAATGAGTTTTCTGTGTGGGATATTTGGGTATTAAATAAAGAAGGTCAGTAGGATTTGTGAACTGATTGGATTTTAGAGGTTGAGGATACTAATGTGCAGAATAACTCCTCAATTTTGGCTGGCCAATTAGGTGGGTGGTGAGTCATTAACTGAGCTGGGGAACACTGGAGGACAGCTGGTGGGAAGAAAAAATCATGAATGTGGTTTGGATTTGCTGAGTTTGAGATGCCTCCAAAATACCTAAGAGAAGATGACTAAAGGCAGTTGGAAATACAGTTCTGAAGCTCAGAAATGGTCTGGATTAGACATATAAATCTAGATCATTATATGGTATGTCCACTTGACATAGATTTTATTCTGGAAGGTTCATCACATGAATTTGAATGCACATAGGTACCACTCAAATAAAATAATCTTAATTCTTGGTTAACCAAGTGAGAAGCATCTTTAAATCTAAAGAACTGAATATTCTGTCCTGTAGTATTGCCATTTCACTAAGAACTCCAATAATCAGAGTACTAGACTGCCCCAAATACTTCCCAGGACACATTGCCCCAACAATCCAAAAAGAATCAGAATTCAATTTTAAGTTCAGCAATCTGCCTCTATGCTGATAATAACCCCCTTAAGAATATCCCAATGCCAAATGATACTCATTTAATTGAGACTATAACAGTCAACACATTCAAATGTTCATCTGCAGATAATGTACATTAATCCACATATTAAAACAAATATAAGAACTGGGGTATACTGCTACCCAGGACTGGACAATGCAATCCTTTAATTCCAGAGTGCATCATATTACTATTTTTAAATATATAATATTTAATATTTTATATATTGTTTTATAATGTAATATTGGAGAACTATGCCATACAGTATTATTTGTTATATGTGACATATATAATATATAATAACTTTTTTCTGATCAAGTCAGGAAAAAGGTATATTCTATTCATAAGAGTAAAATTACGTTAGAAAAAAATTTTAAGTATTAAAGTGGCTGAAGTAGATGAAAACTAGTAAATTGCTAAAGCTTTAAGAACCATTTTCTCTCTATTAGGGAGGAATATGTGGATTGATCATCAATCTGCCAGATTTTTATGAGAATATATATATATATATTTTACTTTTTATATGTCTTTACCGGTACTAAAAATTTATGGATTATTGTATGGTTAACTTCCTTTCTTTGGGTACAAAACTGTAAAAGACTTGTTAAATTCTCAAGTGTATTTTAGTATATTCAAGAACCAAAAACTTTGTTCAGAAGAATATATAAAATTTTTTATTATGGAAAATCAAGTTTTCCTGAGAAAGATTTCTTTCCTGGGTAAAACTAGTCCCTTTGAGAGATACATCTAATGTTCTTTTTCACAATTGGTCTTATCCAAGGGTCTCCAAGTCAAGGCTGCTCAGAGACTTTCCACACCATAAAAGAAAAAAGTAAATTATTTACTTGGGACTTTTATTTCATTTGTGCAAAACCAGTAATACCACTCATTGCCACCCTAAAGCTAATTTGTCAAATTTTTGCTTAATATTAAATAAAAATTACTTATATGCTGCAAAAATACAGCAGAAAACGTGATCAAGGACCAGAAATGAATAGGAAGAAGGAGAAAGCAGACATTTAATAATTGAGTAACAGTCACTGAATGTCACTTGTTGCCACTAATGCTCAGTGACTCCAGATTAAGTAACAGAGGCAAAAAAAAAAAAAAAATGGCCAAATGCTGCAGCAACTCATAATTGGCTGTCAGGAGACCAAATTAAGATTTCACCACAAACAATGTGTCCCAGTGTGACCCTCCACTTCCACCCATGTGTTCACGGAGCTAATGCCATTCTCCACACCAAGCTAAGAAGGAAACTGAGAAGGATTGAGTGGGACATTGCTCTAGAAGCCTTAAGCCTTACACAATTGTAATTTATTGTTACCACTGGCCTATGTTTCCCCTCCCTTGAAATGACATTCTGTAAAGTTTAGCCAGGGGTTTCCCACAAACCAATCCACTCCACTCTACTACATTCACCAAGTCTTCCTTCAGAACATTTCTTTCTGTCATATGGACCAGAAGGCAACAGTGTGTCAATAAACCTAAAGTTAAAAGGCAGTGGATGGGGATTGGGGCTGTAGCTCAGTGGTGGAGCACTTGCCTAGCACAGATGAGGCACTGAGTTGGATCCTCAGCACCTCATAAAAACTAAATAAAAGATAGTGGAATGAGATGGACAGCATTACCCTAGGTATATGTATGAAGACACAAATGGTGTGACTCTACTGTGTGAACAACGAGAGAAATGAAAAATTGTTCTCTATATGTGTACTATGAATTGAAATGCATCCTGCTGTAATGTAGAACATATTAGAATAAACAAATTCAAAATAGGAAAAAATAAAATAAAGTTATAAAATGTTTTTAAAAGTTTTTTTAAATCTTTTTTAAAAAGGCAGCGGATGTGTTGTATGAAAGGAGAGAAGGTTAGCACTCCCCTTGACAAGGATGGAAGAGGCCCTCGGGCCTGACAACACGCATACGCATACGGTTGAGGCATTGCCACCTACTAAAAAGGCAGCGGATGGCCTTAAAGCCAAAAGTAATGTTTTAAGTTTTTTAAAAAATTTTTTATTATATATTTTATTTACTTATTTATATGTGGTGCTGAGAATGGAACCCAGTKCCTTACACATGCTAGGAAAGCGCTCTACCACTGAGCCACAACCCCAGGCCCTTAATTTTTTTTTTTAATTTGGAAATATACAATGTAAGAAAATGCACCATTCAACAAGGTGCTATTATGAATGAAATTTTCAACGATGTGCAATTATGATGGAAACGCGATTTACATCCTTGGGCAAAAACTATTCATTTACACTAGGAACTAAAACCATCCCTAGTGGAAAGCGTGGAAAAGCGAAGCCAAGTGAACACAAGTTTGCCGCTCAGCTTGAAGCATAGTAAAAGATATCTCTCAGTGCCAAGAACTGCCATTCACACTCGGAAGCGCTCCAGGGAAGGTTAATACAACTGTGATTAATACTGTTTACAGGAGCAATAAATTTGAGGTAAACACCCAAAGGAGAGTTCAAGAACTGTCTCTTCAGTCCCATAAATGCGGGTAAAGGGCCGGTGAATGGCCCCACATAAACCCTGGCCCTTGACGCCTTAAGTACCCAAGAGCTTCACATTCCAGCTCTCGCCAGACCCTGCGCTATCCGCAGCCTGCGTCCCCAGCGCACATCAGCAACCATCCCATGCGCAGCCAGCCCGGAGGTGACAGAGACCGCTGCAAGTTCCAAAAAAAAAAAAAAAAAAAAATGCATGGGACTGCAGCCGCCTGGACCCAGCGATTCAACCTCATCTTAAACTCGGTCCGCTCTGGCAGCCGCTACCGGTGCACTGACCCTCCCAAGCATACTGACCCATGAGGCCCTGGTGACCCAGGTGACCTGAAAACTGTGAAAGAGGCCGCCCTGTCTGGGAGAGAGGAACACCCCAGTTCGGGACTGTGTAGTTACACCCAAGGCTCTCCAAGTCAATATGGAAAAAAAAAAAGTGCGGGGGGGGGGGCTGCTCTAGGAGATCGAACACGTTTTCTCCCTCCCTTGAAATCCCTCTGAAATGAGTCCTTTTCGGAATTTGAGGCTTGATCTTTTATCAACAGGCCTTCCAAAAGTTGCACAGCCTACAATTAGAGCTTTGTGAGTTTTGTAAGTGGCCTTGGGCAACCAGAGCTTCGGACCCCGGACCAAAGAGGGAATGAATTACCTTGTCAGTTGCAGCAAGGGATGCCAAGAGTCCGGAAAGCCAGGCAACTGTGCGGGACAGGCCACCAATAGGGCACCCCCGTCCCTTAACCTCTCCGGAGCTGCTGGCAGGGAACGCCACACTTTCCGGGGCCCCACCCTCAGGAGCAGCAAACACCCAGAGGTCGAGCACGTCCCCTGCCAGGCGGCGGGCTGGGAAGTGCTCCCCAGCCCACTGACTACAAAACCACACTCTCTCCACCCTCTCCTAGCAGACACTGCCGGGGCCCCGCCTTCCCGGGGACGGGGTGTGTATGTGTGACAGGCTCTCCTAGGAGGCCACGTCCTCTTGGAGATCACTGGCCCAGCGCCCTTCTCCGCGCGAAGCACGGACACGCGACCCTCTTCCCCCAGCAGAGGGGAGGATTGGGGGAACAAGGCGGCAGCACAGAGCCGATCGGAGGGGTTTGAATCCTTCACAGCTAGTCCGGATTCCAACGACCTTCTCGCCCGAGCTCCTCAAGCTTCTGGCATTCTCTCCCCCGAACCGAGAAGCTGAACTGAGGTTCCCAGGAAAGTGCACCCAAAAGTTGGCTACTTCTCCGACTTTGGGACTGAGGAGGAGCTCGAGACACCCATCCCGGGCAAAAGAGCTGGAGAAAAGTCCAACCTCCTCCCACCTCCCGCCCCACTCCCTCGCAGGCTGTGGTCCTATTACCCAGTCCCAGACTTCAATAATGCATGGGCTTACCTGCTCGCCCGCGGGCCACCGCGCCTACCCGCCGCCGCCGCCGCCGCCGCCGCGTCCGGAGCGGCCCACGGGCTCCTCTAGGAGGGTTTGGGTCGTAGTAAACGGGGGATGCGCACGAGGGTGAATTTGGTAGTGCGAGCTGTTTTGTTTGGTGATTTTTTTTTTAATGAAATGTGGAGGATCAGACAAGATTCGAAAGGAGAAAAAAAAAATTAAAAATGGCACCCGATTTGGAAAAGCCCCTGACTTGTGCAATCTTCCTCCCGGGTAGTTCCGCCAAAAACAAAAACAAAACAGTTCAAGCGCAAACCTGGGACAGGCGCGCAGGCACCAAGTTTGCCCAACACTATAGAGTTTTCCGTCTGCAGAGATGACTCAAAAGAAGGGGGGCACGGCTCCCCCCCGGCTCCCCAATCGGCTTCGGGAACCAGAGACTCCTCCTCGCCCTTCGGCGGGAGAAAGCCCGCGGCGGCTACCGCTGGCCGTTCCTCTCCTCCGAGGAAAGGCGACTCCACAACTTTGTGCGCGAGAGCGGCTCGCTCCTCCGGCGGCTCCTCCTCCTCCTCGTTTTCCTCCTCCTCCCGGCCGCGGGCCTGCCCCTTTGTTGGAATGGAGCGCTGAAGGCAGAAGAGAGAGGGTGGGGCACGGGAGCGATCGGCTGCGCGCCGCTGCCCCTGGAAAGGGGCTCGCGTCCGGGCACCCGGGGGTTCGCTCTCCCCAGGAGGAGGCCCAGCAGGTCTGGGCCTCCGGCCCTCGCGGCTCCAGCGCTCCCGCTCGGCTCTCGCGTCCTGCCGCTGGCCCAGCAACTTTGTTCCTGGAGACCTGCCTTTCGGCTCCGGGTTCGGCCCTAACCGGGCCTCGGCGGCCACCTCGGGCCCCACTCCGGGAACGTGGCGCCGGGTCACCTGACCGCTCGCCCCGTCAATCAGCAGCTGCCCTGCGCACCCTCCCAGCCCGCAGCCGCCTGGCCCGGTGCGGCGCTCCCTGCGCAGCTTCGGGAGCAAACCCTGCAGCTGGGAGAGAAAGCTACTAAGCTACGATGAAGCCTTGCCCAAACACAGTGCCCTTTATTCAGATTATCCGAAATTGYGAGTCACGCCCCCCCCCACCCCAGGCAAACTGGGTCTCTAGTTAGGGCAATTTTTTCTTTTTAAGTCTTCCATATGCTCCTCAAATGACCCCATCTCAGTTTGCTGACGTTGCTAATTTTTTTGGACCTATATCCAAAGATATGTTTGCAGAATTTTCTTAACATCTTTCTTTCTTTCTTTAGTGCATTATAATTAGACATAATTGTGGAATTCGTTGTTATGTAGATAACAATATGTCAATATAATTTGATCATTGTAGCATCATTTTTTTAATATTTATTTTTTAGTTGTAGTTGGACACAATACCTTTATTTAGTTATCTTTTTATGTGGTGCTGAGGATCGACCACAGGGCCTCATACGTGCTAGGGGAGCGCTCTACAGCTGAGCCACCATCAAACCCTGTAGCATCATTTTTAATATTAAGAAAACATTTGGGGGCTGGGGATGTGGCTCAAGAGGTAGCGCCTGGCATGCGTGCGGCCCAGGTTCGATCCTCAGCACCACATACAAAGATGTTGTGCTGGCCGATAACTAAAAAAAAATAAATAATAAAAAAATTCTCTCTCTCTCTTTCTCTCTGTCTCTCTCTCTCTTAAAAAAAAAGAAAGAAAACATTTGAAATTGCGTTTCATATTCGCTTATATGTACCAATAGTGTTTGCACTGACCTTGTTCTTCTATTTTTTTTTTTTCAATTTGCACACAAACACATCTATTTATAGTACCTACTCCAAGCAAATACCAAAAAATACCAGGGAAGAAATGAACTTGTGCTTTGTGTGCATTTTTCTTATTTTTACATTTCATTCCCTGTGCATTACTATTATTCTTTTACATGATCATCACACTTGGGAAGAGAATGGAAAAAAACAGCCAAGTTCCTAGGTGGTATCAACCAAGAGGAGAGGACAAATGATAAGCAAGCTCTGGCTTCTTGCTAGCTTCATTTTTTTAAGAGTTAGTTTATGAGGCAGTAAAGATAAACCAGGAGGGACTTCAAAAACAAGTTTTTCAGAAAGAATTCACTAGACTTTTGTTAATTATGAACTGCAAGCCTCCTGGTCTCTACATGCTGTTGGGGGTAGGAGGTTCTGAGTTACAGAAATCTAGTGTCCAGCATAGCTTCCTTCCTTTGGGGGATATTCTTCATATAAGCCAAATAAAATCTACAGTATTAACTCAAAATGGGTGTGATATTCATTCACTTTTCATTGCTTCCTTCATTTAACAAAACCAATTTGGGGCCTGCCAGGTGTAGAGTAACTGGGGATGATGGTAACTGGGGATAATTCAAAGAAGCCTGATAGAGATCTTGCCCTCATAAGAATGTAGAATCCTGTAGGTGAGATAAGGCATGTAAACAAATATATGCAAGATTCACGATAAGTGCCATAAGAACAGAATAGATCAAGTGCTACCTGGTAATCTTACAGACACATAAAGCAGCTCATTTCTCCTGGTATCCCTGGTGGGGCCGATGGAAACTCAGATTTCTTCTTTAAGAAAGATAATAAGGCCACATTGAACTGTTTGATGACTTTATCACTTAAAATGATAGCTGTAAAGCATTTTGTAAGTTGTGACAAAATTTGAGCTAAATAGATATTATTTGCAGCACAAATACTAACTATTTAGCTCAAATTTTTTGAAAAACAGGTGTTTATAACTTCTGAGTTTTTCAGCTGAGGGGTTGTTTATTCAAGAAAGTCTTCTTCATGGAGTAACCAAGAGGACAAGTTGGTCCTGTTCCWTTGTTAGGTAGGGAAACCACACTTAGCAGGAGATCTTGACCTAAGAGGGTTATATTTCCATAGAGCAGGCACTGTGGTCCTCCTTCACATCCTCAAAATCTAGTTTAAGAGACAGTGAAGACAGGCCACCCACCAGGAGGTGTCCACTATCACACCTGCAACCAGCATCTACTTGCAGTCCATACACTGGTAAGGGCAGGGGCTGGAAAGATTTAGTCTGACCATCCCAAGATCACTGTAAAGCATTTGGAGAAAGTGATAGGAATGCGGTCCTGGCCTACTGTTGGTTCAAAGTCAGAATTGTCCTACAATTACCAGGAAATAGTGAAAATTGCATTGGTGTCACTTTAGGAAAGAAAGATTTTGACAGAAAATCATGATGAGGAGTATATGTACAGATATATATATATGCATGCAGTATATATAATATGTAGAAATGAGTCACTTAGATATTGTTCATATCCAGGAAACTCCATCCCTAAATGAGTAAAGAAGAAAATATTTTCTTCCAAAGTTTGTGCAAGAGTATATAAATGCAATTTCTCTTTAAACAATAGAAATGTGGGAAAATGGCAAGACAATCCTTCTGCTGTACCCCTTGTGTTGGCTGAGTAAAGCCCTGTGTGAAAGAAGTGGGTAAGGAAGCTTAGGGAATTTACCKTTTCTTATCTTTTTTCAGGAACAGAAAATACAAATCTGTGGCTTGCATATAAGAGATACTAGAGTAATTACTGAATATGTGACTGAATTCCTCAGTCAAACATCTAGTATTTGTGCAAGTTGAAAATAGCTATAAATAAAATTCTTTATCATCGAGTTAAAGAAAAATGATAATAATGCATGAAACTTTTTGAGAATAAATAACACAAAGACAGAGTTCCTCACAACTCAGTGAACTGAAAAATCACCAGGGAAGCATATTTGAAATTCAGATTGCCTGCCATCCCCCAGAAATTCTGATTTAGTAGGTCTGGTGAGTCTCAGGCAACTTCAGCTGTAACGCGCAACCAGGAGGTTTAGATGAGGGTGGTTGGGAACCACCCATGGAGCTACTGTGCCCAGGGAGCTGGCTCAGAACACTTCAGATGATGGAGGGGRCCCAGAAATTGCTCTATCAGAAAAGAAAAATATTTATACAGGATCTATAATAATTTCAAAATATCTATGGTTAGCTTCATCTCTTAGAATTCAAGTGTTTCATCTAGTTTCAGACCACCCTCGCCATTACCCACAGCTATTAATACCTTCAGCTTCTTCCCAGCCATGCAACCTGTTCTGGATTTGAGGAAACAGGCTTCTAAGAGTCTGCTGGCAAGCAAGTAAGGAGGAGATGGATACCAAGGATGGGGAGCTGAAATGCAACTCCAAAGAGGTAAGGGACTAATGGGGAGCGAGAGCAACCAATGGAAATAAAGGGAGAATTAAGGAGACCCCAAAGGGAAGGAAGAGCCATGCAGACCCTAAAGGGTATTAAGCCCAGCCCCACTCCTCCAGGGGCACTGCCCACTGGGAATCAGAAAACACTTCTGAATAAAACACACCCTGTGCTGGGTTTATCATACGTGCTAATTTCACTTGGTTCAATTTACTTTGTGTAATTTCATAATGTTGGTGCTGGAAGGGATTTTACAGACTCTGCTACAACCCTTTAATTTAACAGATAAAGAAGCAAATGAAAGATACAAAACTGGCTAAGGAGTACATTTAGGTAAAATAATAACAATGGGAAGAGGAGATGTCCAAATGACTGAGAAATGAAAAGAGAAAATYCCAGTGTTGTAAGAGTTCATTGTTCACAAAGAGAAAATGAGGAAGGAAGAGAGGGGAGACGGTTAGTGTAGCGGAATGACAACTAGGCTAGATTTCAGCCACTTAAGTCCTAATTATGAATCTGATAGCTATTAGTTTATGAGCTTTTAAAATGTAACTTTTCATTTCCTGTACATAAAATAGAAGCAATAATGCCCCCTCAAATTGTTATGGGAATCAAGTGAGTTAGCTGATGGAAAGCATTTATCCTCATCTGGTCCTTTTTATGTTTTATGATGCTCTTTCTACTTTCTTTTAACTCAAGAGTATTCACTGCCACTTTGTGATCATCTTTACTTCTTTGTCGCAGACATCTCTGAAACAAACAGTATCTGCTGAAGGCTTGGATGTGCAAACAGGTATAAGCCAGGGTGCCCATCTTTAAAGAGCTCATGAACAAAGAGACCATTATAAATTAACATGAGTGCATCAATATGRCCAAGACACAATGTGAGCCAGGACAGGGACACCTTACCCTCTAGGAGAAGGATAGGAATAGGCAGGCATGAAGAAGGGACACCTGAACTGAGTCTTAGGGCAGGGGGGTGTAGGTATCAAAAAGAACATGTGTTGTCATGCCTCTGCCCAGCATTGTTCCCCATATTTTTGAAGGCGTTTTACCCCTTTGGGAAATTGCTCCTCTCCTGCTCCAGTAGATTTTTGTCAATTACTTCTCTGTCTACCCCAGGGGTGGGCTCAAGAACCAGGAATAGCCAATCCTAGGGTCCCATCCCAGACTTTAGGGATTAATCTAAGAGAGGACAAGAGATCTCTCTCTAAGTCTTCCCCAAGGAATTTTCATAGCAACAAGGGGAGGGAAAAATTCTCTTTTTTTCCCAAAATTAGTAAACTGGAGTAACATAAAATTGTGACCATTCCACCATGTTTCTCTTCTTCTCCTACTATTAGCTGCCATTCCATGTGTACAGGAGAAAGGGAAAACTGCTGAAAAAAATAGGAGAAGGAATCTGGAGGAGAGAGAGCCCCTGGTTTATGCCCACAGGCATACAAAGTGCTTTTTGTATCACTC